TCATAGTGGGGAAAAAATGTTATAGGCAATAAAAGCTTAGGGTAGAAATCTTCCCTATCCATAAAAACCTGCAGGTTTTGTTGAGAGATAAGACAAACTTTTATTCCATTAAACTTTTCTCAGTGACAGCACTGAGGCTTCAGAGTCACGTCGGTTCCTCCAGCAGAAATTGGGTGCCTGGAATGAGGTGGAGCTCCTTGTACCTCCTGAGGGGAACAATCCATTCCAGCAGCATCAGGAAACAAAAATCAGCTTCATTCAGGACCGAGGGAGCAAGGAATCACTGTTTGTTAATGTTGCCTTAAGCTAAATGTTAATGAAGTGCAACACTTAGGATGCTGCACGCCTCAATTATGTCCACCAAGATCACATGTTGCCTTTCCAATTATCTGGGCTGGGAAATGAGGACGTGTGAGGAAGCTGCTGCCTGTTCATTACCTTCCCTGGCAGCAGAAATCCTGCTGGATTTGGGCTGCTCAGGTGCAGGGGTGGAACTGTCCTGGAAATGGGTTTGAAACACAGAAAATAACGCCTGAGGTGGTGCTGGGCAAACGTGGAGGTGAAACTTGGACAGGCTGGAGATGGTGTTTGGTGTCTGGGGGTGCTGGTGACCTTGAGGGAAGGGACAGGCAGACGTGACTGCCTTAGGAATGAGGGTGGCACCTCCCAGGGTCTGCACCAAACTCAATTTTCCTGATTCTCCCTGCCCTTGTCCTGTCACTGCCGTTTGATCAGGAGAACTGAGGGGATGGGAAACGGCTTCAGACTGACCCAGGGCAGGGTTGGATTGGATATCCTGGAGATTGGATATTTAAATTGGATATATATATTAGATTGGATATATATAGATATATTGGAGCAATTCCTCCCTGTGAGGGTGGGCAGGCCCTGGCACAGGGTGCCCAGAGCAGCTCCATGTCCCCTGGAAGTGCCCAAGGTTGGATGAAACTTGGAGCAACCTGGGATAGTGGAAGGTGTCCCTGCCCATGGCAGGGAGTAGAAATTAAATTATTTTTAATTTCTAATTAATTTTTAATTTTAAATTATTTTTTAAATTTAATTAATTATTTTTAATTTATAATTAATTTTAATTTTTTATTAAATTATTTTTAAATTTTAATTAATTTTTGTTTAATTTTTTATTTTAATTTTTTAAATTAAATTATTTTTAATGTCCTTTCCAACCCAAAGCATTCAGTGATTCAATAATCCTGTTAGGTTTTGTAAAACAAAATTAAGTTCAGAAAAAAGCTCCTTTTTTCTACACTAGACACACAGATGCTGGATAATTTCAGAACATAGAAACTGATTTGTTTACCCAATCCATTTTTTATTATTATCATTAAGTGGGGAAAAAAAATACGGACAGACAAAAATTCCTTCAAAATTGTGCAATAATACATAGCAGAAATCAATGAATGAAAACAAAAACAAACAACAAAACAAATAAAGGACACAGAGTAGCAATTCAAATAGTACAACATTAAACTTCACTTCAAGAACCTGATTCAAAGGTGACACTACCTCTATTAGAGGCTGGCTGCTTGTGGACTGATGCAGGTTTGTAAGGATTAATTAGAATCTTGCAGCTATTTCCAGGAGCAGAGATGCTCTTGGGGTCCAAGAGTAGCTGAGTTATTGCACCATTTCCCTTCTCAAGTCCATTTGAAGGAGACTTGAAAGCTCTTGCAGAAAAGGTTTTGCTTGAAAAATGACATTTTGCTTTTCCATCAGCGAGCAGGTGAAGTTTGCCATTAAAAATACTCTGATTCCAAGCATGGAGATGCTCACACTGAGCTGTGCCCTGCCAAGGATGGAAATTCTGCTCGGGGGGCGTCCCTTGGCTCAGCTGGGGTTCCCTGTGGGTGATGTGAGGGTTTGGTGACTCTGGGGACAGGAGCAGTGAAATAACGTGAAATTACATAAAATTTGGTGACCACCAAGGTGACCACAAACACAAAGCTCTTTTGGCCATGAGACCACAAAATCTGGGTGCTGGCATCCAGCTCTGCCTGTCTGCTCTTCCCTCCCCTTCTCAGCTGCCTCTGAGCTGCCAAACATCTCCAAAACTTGATTTGTCTAAGGAAAAGTGGATTTTCCCAGGGCTCAGCTCTCTCCTAACACTGGGTCAAGGTGGGAACACCTGGAGCAGGTTAGGCCAGGGAGAGCTGGCTCTTCTGCACATGAACTACCTGCAGGGAGGGGTTTTCTCCCCAAATTTCACCACTCTCTGAAATTTTCTCGCATTTTTCCTGGGGTTCAGGCCCGTGGCCAAACCCCTATTCCAGCTGCTTCCTGCGTGGGCTCTGCTCTTGCTGGGTTCAGGAGATTTTACAGGGCTGGTGTCGCAGACATTTTTTATGGAAAATTCTTTCCTTAGGATTTTTCCTCCTGAGAAGCTGGGAGGCCTCAGGAACAAAATGTAATCAATGGTTATCTGCTGCTGTGGAATGCAACAGGTGCATCTGGGATTGGTCTCATGTGGTTGTTTCTAATTAATGGCCAATCACAGTCAGCTGGCTCAGACAGAGAGTCCGAGCCACAAGCCTTTGTTATCATTCTTTCTATTTTTAGCTAGTTTTTTGATGAAATCCTTTCTTCTATTATTTTAGTATATTTTCAATAGAATATACATAATAAAATAATAAATCAGCCTTCTAAAACATGGAGTCAGATCCTCATCTCTTCCCTCACCCTCAGACCCCTGTGAACATGGTCACGGGCTGGCAACCCACAGATGGGGTTTATTCAGACTGAAAAGAGCCTTTTATTGACCTTTAATAGGTCTGCAGCCTGGGAAATGGTACCTCCTTGTCTTTCTTGTAAAAACCAAACCCCCAACACAAAAAAAGAGAACCTCACAAAAAGCCTGAGCCAAAGCAAAAGAAGCCTCACGGTCCAAAACCTCAGCAGATTTTTGTGTTTAACCTTAGTCTTTTGTTCAAATGGACTTGAGAGTGCTCATGGGCCTCTGAAATGGGTGCAAACACAAATTAACTGCTGGAAGTTCCTCCTAACCAGGGTATTTTCCACACCCTTTTTGATCCAAACCTTTTACTGGGTTCCTATAAAACAAAGTCAAACCACCTCCCGGAATTGAGGGTAGCAAGTCATGTCACGTCACATAAGGCTACTGAAAACGAAACCAGAACAAAATATACATCCACATCCACGTTCCATATTTACAGCAGAACCCTCCCACCCCCTGCATGTCTCCGTGAACAAGATTCCGTGCTTCAAAAGTTCATAAAAATATACAATTTACCCCAGAACTGCATGGGGTTCTCCCCACCTGGAGCCCAGACTCCTCTATCTCTACATATAAAATACACTAGCCCTGTGAAAGTTGCTTTGCTGAGAGCACAGTGGTGATTTTTGCAGTGAAGGGGAGGGTTTGGGGACAGCTCTGAGTGGCTTTGCAGTGTCCCCAAACCCCTGGGTGGCTCCGCAGAGGGCTCTGCTCTGCCCATGCTGTGTTTGGGAGTTAGATTTAACCAAAAGTGCTGGGTTTGGGTACAAAATGCTTTGTTCTACACAAACGTCTCCAAGCCAGGAGTGACCTGTCCCCAAGGTGATGCCTGGAAATCTCCAGCCAAGGGATTTCTGCAGGATATAAAGTGGTTAAAAGGGTCCCCCTGGGCCAGACTCTAAATTCTGCTCATTTTACTGCAGCAGCAGGATTTACCCTGGGGGAGTAAAATATCAGAATTTAACCCCTCCTCACTCTCACCAGAGGGACCAAATTTTGGGATTACATTGTAATTTTCAGTTACCTGTGCTAAAAAATTTTACTTTATAAAGAAGGGGTTAAATACTCCTTTTCTCTGTTTTTAGGCTTCCTCTCCTGCATAAAATCTTTTGATTTATGTGTTTGAGGCTGATTTAGCCTCTGGGTCAGAGTCTGGTCTCTCTGTGCAGCTGTAACAAATTGAGCTGTGTGTACTGGGTTGGTTTTCCTCAAAAATTCAACTCCTGAACAGCACCTGATCCACTGACAAGGTAAAAATATTGCAACTCTGCGAGCTTGCTGCTACTTATAAAAATCTGATTCTAGTTTGGTCCCAGCTTTGGTGGGGAGGAAAAAAAAATCTGTCACCAGTATGGGAATGCTAACACCAGTAATTGAAAATAGAGTCAGTATTTCTCTAGAGTATCAAACCATCCAGACCTCAACTTTTTTTTTTTTTATACATTTTTCTATTGTGAAATTAAACGGATCAGTCGCGTATCAAAACATAGCTGGCCTCTCTCGTTTCATCTGTAGGAAGACTGCAATTATAACTTAATTTACACAGCAAAAATACCTTTTGTTTTTCACAAAAACAGTGTGACAAGACAGTGTGCTGCATTTCCTGGTGAGAAGTTTTGCATATATCGAGCACAGCCAGGGGAGAGCCCTGAACATCCTCTCCTGTCGTGCCCCTGGGTTGGCAGGTAGTGGTGAGGTTCACAATTTTTGGTGAAATTCACATTTTGCTGTCACAAAATCAAAGCTCCAAACAAGTGGCAAGCAGACTCTTTGCATTTGGCTCTGCAGCCAGTATTTTGTCTGCTGGGAATGTGAGATGAGAAAATAACATGTATGTGTGTGTGTGTATATTTATATTATTTCCAAAGCTGTAGGTAAAACTACAGCTGCTTTTAGGAAACTCTGATGAGGGAGCATCAAATCCCTGCTGTGGGCCGAATTAATTTAAATTTTCAGTAATTACTGCTCTGGGTGAGTGTGGAAAATCTGGATTTGCACACACTGGAGATTCCCCCTTCCATCCCACCACCGTGCTGGCATCTGAGGGAAGCTCCACGGAGAAGGGACATCCTAAAAATACCTGGAAAATGAGTTTTAAGGTGCAAGTGGCAGTTTTTTGTTCCAGTGATGTGGTGGTTGTAAGCTCCAGATTAATCAAGCCCCATGTGATGGGCAGGGGCAGCAGCAGCAAATCCCCACATTTGGTGTGGGGAGATTTTTGACTTCCTACAACAGCAGGAAGCTAAAAATCACCTCTAAAAAAAATATGCTGCTGTACTTTAAGATTGCTCAAAGATTGGGTCTTTAAAAGGGAGAAAAACTCAGTGAAAATGAGGGGTTTTGTTATCATGGCAAGGACAATGATGGGGATGCCAAGATACGACTGCCTTGCGAGATAAAGTGGCACATGTTCTACACAAGAATGTGTACAATGTCTGACGACTCTGGAAATCTGTTCCTCACCAGATTTCCCAATAAATTAACACAACAAAAATACTTTCATATAAAACAAAGTCCAAAGGATTTTTTTTTTTTTTTGTCCTAAAGTAAAAGCAAAACCTTCAGGGACTATATTATCTCTCTCTACATATATAATCTCCTGAATTTTTCTTTTTTTTTTAAATAAATTTATTCTTGTCTTAGAAAAATAAAATGAGTAGCCAATTTAGTCAACGGAAAATATCTCACAGACTTAAAAGCATGCCCAGCAAGCATAGCCTTGTAAGACTAAATTAATGTTAAATCAAAGCAATTTGTTACTCAACCAACCTAGTCTGCAATTCACAGTTGATTACTACAAAGTGTATTCTTAAAATTATTATTATTTTTTTCTTTTTTTGGCCCATATAAAAATAACGTATTGCAACTCAAAGTGCATTTTTAAAATAAACAATCAACTATTTTTATCAAATAAAATATTTACACCATTTGGTTTTGTACAGTCAGAAATGAGCTTCAGGCGATGACCATGGGGACGTCGTCTGAAAATCCAGTTATCATTGGGGCTTCATCGTCCTCATCTCCTGGAAAACAAACCCAAAACAGAGCTGATAAAGGGCACTTGAAAAATCTGGTTTTTATCTTCAGCATGTTAAAATCTGGTTTTAAGTGATTTGCATTGGAAGGAGGGGTTTAATTTTATAAAAATATTGGTTGGGAAAATTTTGGCGGTTGGACTTGATCGTCTTGAACGTCTTGTGATTTGTACTCTGAGATCAAATTCATAGAGATTGTGATACCAGAATGGCCCAAACCATGATAAAGAATTAATTCTTGCCCTGATTTCACATCCTCAGTGTGTTTTGAAGTGATTTGCATTGGAAGGAGAGCTTTAATGTGACAAGAATTAAACCTTTGGTTGGGAAAAGTTTGGTGGTTGGACTTGATGGTCTTAAAGGTCTGTGCAACCTAAACTATTCCATGATTCTGTGATTTGCACTCTGAGATCAAACCCATAGAGATTGTGATGCCAGAATGGCTCAAACAATGGTAGAAGAATTATTTTTGCCCTGATTTCACATCATCAATGCATTTCTAAGTGATTTGCATCAGAAGAAGAGGTTTAATTTGATAAAAACATTTGGTTGGGAAAACTTTTGCTGGTTGGACTTGATCTTGAAGATCCTTCCAAGTTTAACGACACTGTAATTCTGTGATTTGTACTCGGAGATCAAATCCATAGAGACCGTGATACCAGAATGGCCCAAACTGTGATAAAGAATTAATTCTTGCCCTGATTTCACATCCTCAGTGTGTTTTTAAGGAATTTGCATCGGAAAGAGAGGTTTATTTGATAGAAATGTTTGGTTGGGAAAACTTCTGCCAGTTGATGATCTTGAAGATCTTTTCCAAGTTTAATGACTTTGTAATTCTATGACTTGTACTCTGAGATCAAACCCATGGACACTGTGCTACCAGAGTAGCCCAAACCATGATAAAGAATGAATTCCTGCCCCGATGTCACGTCCCCAGTGCTGTCCCCGGTGCCACCAGGGCCACGTACCCAGATCATCCCCCGAGGAGAAGATGGCTGAGCCCAGGCGCGAGCTGTAGTGGCTGTTGGCGAAGGCAGTGAAGCTGCTCTGGAGCCTCCTGTGCCTCATGTAGAGCACCACGAAGCCAATGCCCAGGGTCACCAGCAGCAGGAACAGCACGGGCACCACGATGGCAGCCACGTCCGTGGCCTGGCCCGATTTGGTGGCCAAGGGGTCTTTACCTGGTGAGGGAGGGACACAAGAGCTGTTTTAGCACATCTCTGCACACAACAGGGCACAAAATAAGACAACACAGACACTGGAACTCCAAGGTAAGAAGAAGGGAAAAGAAAGGAAGTTTATTTCCTGCCTCTAGAATTTATAGACTTTCAAATGTGGCAGTGAATTGGTGTGGTGGTGTTCGCAGGGGTCCCAGGACAAGGGAAGGGATGAGAATCTTGACTCCTGTCCCAGACACGTTTTATGAAAAATCCTTTCCTTAGGATTTTTTCCTCCTGAGAAGCTGGGAGGCCTCAGGAACAAAATGCAAACAATGGTTATCTGCTGCTGTGGAATGCAACAGGTGCATCTGGGATTGGTCTCACGTGATGGTTTTTAATTAATGGCCAATCACAGTCCAGCTGTCCAGATTGTCTTGGTCAGTCACAAGCCTTTGTGATCATTCTTTTTCTATTCTTAGCCAGCCTTCTGATGAAATCCTTTCTTCTATTCTTTTAGTATAGTTTTAATATAATATATATCATAAAATAATAAATCAAGCCTTCTGAAACATGGAGTCAGATCCTCATCTCTTCCCTCATCCTTGGACCCCTGTGAACACGGTCACAGACTCCATGGTTCAGAAAGCTGATTTATTATTTTATGATATATATTATATTAAAAGAAAATTATATATTAAAACTATACTAAAAGAATAGAAGAAAAGATTTCATCAGAGGGCCAACAAGGAATAGAAAGGAATGATAATAAAATCTTGTGACTGTTCACAGACTTGACATTGGTGATCAAGTAAAAACAATTTCACATGCTGGGTAAACAATTCTCCAAATCACATTCCAAAACATGGAGAAGCTGAAGCTTCTCAGCTTCTCAGGAGAAAAGATCCTAACAAAAGGATTTTTCATAAAATACGTCTGTGACAGATTGGAGGATGAAATTGCCACCTCTCTAATGACAATGGACAAACCTACAGTCCATCAAATTTCTCCTTCTCCAGAGAGGAATGTAAAACAATAATTATTTACATAAAAATGTATGAGAAACTCCAGTACAAGAATGTAAACATCAGAAAGTTTAGAAGGACAGGGTGATACATCCCTAAAGAATTTATGAGGCTTCCCTGAGTGTTTTTTGAAGGAGGATGAGGAGGAAATGGGGACTCACCTGTTCCCAGCTCGTCGTAGAGAAGCGTGGCTGGCTCTCCACACATCTGCCCCCCGTACAGGCACCGTGCCTGCACGCTGAATGAGTAATTGTGGCCCATCTTCAGGTTGGACACCTTGAAGAAGTTCTCTGTGGTGTTGCCCAGGTAGGCTGTGATGTTCATCAAGCTGTCAAACATGTGAATCTCGTAGCCCTGAGGGAAACACAAAGCTCAAGTTCACTTGGCTGCAGAGGGCACGTTTGCTCCTTCCAAAAGGGCTTGGAAATTTGGTTTTCCTCCTGGATCTGGCTTTGATGAACCCTGCTGGGAGGGAGCAAGGTGGAGCCTCCTCCAGGAAGCCCTGCTGGTGTGCACTGACCTTGGCCAGTTTAGGGAGGAGAAATTTCTCTTCTGCCAAGTGACCTGATGAGAGGATACGGCCTCGAGCTGTGCCAGGGGAGGATTTTAGGAAGGGTTTCTTCACAAAAAGGGCTGTTAAACACTGGAAGGGCTGCCCAGGGAGTCCCCATCCCTGGGGGTGTTCAAGAAACAACTGGAGGTGCACTCAGTGCTGTGGGCTGGGGACAAGGTGGGGATTGGGCACAGCTTGGACCCGATCTTGGAGGGCTTTTCCAACCTCAATGACTCTGGTTTGGTTTCTCTGCTCCACTCTGGCCTTAGAATGCACCCCAGCCCACCCAAGCACAGAGTCCAGGAGCGTGAGGGCTTTCTTGGTGCAGTTTTCTCCTTGCCCACGCTCTCACAGACAACATTTCACAGATTTTCTATCCAAGTCTGAATAACAACTTTCAGACTTCCTGGCATGGCAGGGCAGTGTCCTTTTCTCAGTCCTTTCACACAGGGGACAACTGTCCTTTTCTAGCAGGATAATTATGTTCCTAAAAGGTGACTGATTGCATCTATCAGCTTCAGAGCCTCAGCCATGACATGAATTTTAGTGAGCCCTTCTAGAGGGCTCACCAAGGACAGGATGGATTTCAGAGCCTGTGAAAGGAGCCTTGCACTGACTCTGCTCCAGGATTTTCTGTAGGGCAGGAGGCACAGCCAAACTTACCCGGCTTTCATTGAAATTACTTTCCTTCAGTGCCAAACTCTTCCAGAAAAGCAGAATATGGTCGTTTTCAGTGATGATTTTTAAGGCGTCCGGTGCAGACAGGGGGACTGCAAATGGGAAAATGTGGCAGCAGGTGAAGGTTGTAGCACTGATGGCACTTTTCTCTTACACAAATGGAGTAAATTCTGAAAGTTAGTGGAGTTTTCTAGGGATCAGCACAATGCTTGGAAAAGGGATGTGCTGGAGGAGAGGATGCAGGAGGGAATTTTCACTGGTAGGGCTGTGATGGTACTTGGTGATGTGCACACAGCCCAACTAGTGCCTTTCCCCTCTCCATTTATCAGGAGGAAAACATTTGATATCATTGGAGAAGCTTCCTCTCCACTGCTGTTGTTTTGGGGTGTAACCACCTCCCAAAATTGGGCTTTGCCTGCGGGAGAGGACCAAGAGCTGCAGGAACATTCCTGCAGCCTCAGGATGGGCGCTGTGTCCCTCACCTGTGTTGATCTTCATGCTGGACTCCTTGCTCATGTTTCCCAGCTGGACAATCACGTGGTATTTCCCTCCTGGCTCCAGTTTCTTTATGGTGTACTCCACCGTGCTGTTCCGGCTTTTCACTTTGTAGATTTTATCTGTTTTCCTCACCAAATCTTTAACTGCCACGGCATAGAGCTGGAGGGGGAGGAAATGGATGGAAAAAAATCTCCTTTTCCTGCAGAATTTCAGCTAAACAGTGGTAGGACATTAAACAGGGTGGGTAAAATTTGCTTTAAACCAGGGCTGAGCTTTACAGAAAGCCTGGGGAGCAAAATTCCAAGCCTTTCTCTGGATCTCTGCCCAAAATCAGCATTTACTGATACAGAAAATTACTGATATAGAAAATCAGCATTTACTGATACAGAAAATTACTGATACAGAAAATCAGCATTTACTGATACAGAAAATTACTGATACAGAAAATCAGCATTTACTGATACAGAAAATTTCTGCTACAGAAAATCAGCATTTACTGATACAGAAAATGCAGTTAGTGGAACAGATGAGAGCAGGAGGAAAAGCTCAGGCTGTATTTCTCAGTGAATCACAAGGATGCAACACAAACCCCTGCTCTGTCAGAGTTTCCAGCTCTGCTGGGAAGGTTTCTACCTCCAAAGCTTTGCTGTTAAAGCCTCTGGAGCAGAATGGGAGGAGAAAGCTTGCTGATATAAAATGAGTGGCCTTCAATGGAGCGAGACCTGAGTGTATTCCAGTGTGGCAGAGAACAGAGCTGGGCTTTGTTGAGGCAGGAGCCGTGCCCCAGCACAGCCTTACCCTCCTGGGCAGAGCCAAAGCCCAGAAAGGTGTTTTGGCTCATGCCCAGGGCTGGTTTTAGACTTGGGCAGCAGCAGATATCCCAGACCTGGCTCTTTTTTGTATTACACTCCTGACCATGGCCAGCAGGGAGGACACGAAGACGTTGGAGGTGTCAGCACTTTGATTTTATGCGGAGCATAGACCTGACCTCAGGCTTTCTCCAGCAGAAGAAAATGAGACAGAGTAAAAAAAATTCTGCAGAGTAGAAATCCATTTTGATTTAGGTGAAATGTACATCTTTAAGTCTGTGTAGCCTGACTGCAAGGCCCAAGCTCAAGGGAAACTGCTTCAATGAAGGACAGAGGTAAGGGGGGGAGACAGAGAGTGATAAAGAGAGACAGAGAGACTGCTGTGAGAGCAGGTCAACCTGACATAAGAATTCTTTCTAATAAAGAAGAGCTAGCAGCAAATGTCACGCAAAATTCGTAAAAATGAATATGCACAAACCTATTGTGAAATTGTATGCATATGTATTTGAGAGAGGGATAAAAAAGGGACCTGAAAGTTCCCTTTTTGGGAACCTGAAGTTCCCAAAAGTACACATCTTTTAAAGAAAGTAATCTCCACATGCGTCCAGCACTGTAATAACAAACATACCGTCATTACAACCTTCACGAAGTTGTAGTTTTTAGCTATTTCCACAAAAAAAAGGCAAGGATTTGTGTTTGGGGCAGAATTTAGCGTGCACAGGGCCAGCAGGAGGCTCTGTGAGGGGTTACCATGTCCTGGTCGGGCGAGTCGTAGGGCGATTCCCACTTGATGACGGCGAACGTCTTGCCGGTGCGCACGGCGTGCAGGTGGCGCGGCGGCAGCCGGTTATCCGGGATCATCTTCACCACCACGGAGTCGGACGGGGGCCCTTGGTAGGGAGACACCACCCGCACCTGGGAGGGAGGCACAGAGGTCAGGGCAGCGTCCTGGGGGAGCCGGGGGCGGGCAGAGGGAGGAGGAGGAGGAGGATGGGAGCCCACCAGGAACAGGTACTGCTCGTCGCGCTGCACCAGCACCGTGGCGTTGTGCGCGCTGGTGGTGCTGTTGTGGGGGCTCCTGTACAGCTCCAGGAAGGACGTGGCGTAGAAAATTCCATAGATCTGAGGAGGAAAAAGCACAGCAGGGCTTGGCACCACCCAGAGCATCCCCTGGCTGCTGTGGGAAATGGATTTGTAGGGAATTCTCAGAGTCTGACAGAAGGTTTACGTGGCGCCTATCTGTGTGTAAAACTTGAGATAAGAAATGTTGACTTAGAAATGTCATGGGATAGGATGGATATGGTTGGGAGAGAAACGGAGCTAGAAACAGGTATTGTTGAGAGAAAAAATGGAACTAGAAACAGATATTGTAGAGACAGAAATGGAGGTAGAAACAGATATTGTCAAGAGAGGAATGGAACTAGAAACAAATATTGTTGAGAGAGAAATGGAACTAGAAATAGATATTGTAGAGAGAGAAATGGAGCTAGAAACAGATATTGTTGAGAAAGAAATGGAACTAGAAGCAAGTTCTAAAGGATGGTTTTATAACTAAGACTAAATACAAGGAAGAAATGTTGAGTTAGAAATGTCATGGGCTAGGATGGATATGGTTGGGAGAGAAATTGAGCTAGAAATAGATATTGTTGAGAGAAAAATGGAGCTAGAAACATATTGTTGAGAAAAAAATAGAACAAGAAACAAGTTTTAAAGGATGGTTGTCTACATAAGACTAGATACTTTGGAGAAATGTTGAGTTAGAAATGTCATGGAATAGGACATATTTTTGAGAGAGAAATGGAATTAGAAACAAGTTTTAAAGGATAGTTTTGTATATAAGACTGGATACTTTGGAGAAATAGGACTATGAAAGATGAACTGTAGTAGGATTTATGAGGGGTAATTTTAGATTATTGGTTTTAAGGTATTTACAGTGTGGTGTGGTAAAAGTTGATAGGTTAAGAAATGTTTATAATGTATTGTAATTAGGAAATACAATTCTGTCAGACTTTGAGAATTTTCTACAAATCCATTTGCCACTGGCTGCCCATTTTAGCGGCATGAAGCAAAGACCCTTTTCCATCTGGACCCTTTTCCTGCTTTTCCCTCTGTCTTGCCCAAGTTCAATCTGCCCACTTTCCTTTGAACTCCCAACCCAAAACCCCTGAGCTCAGTTTGTAACAGCAGCTGATCCAAAGGCTGCTGGAGCATTGTGCTGTGTTTGAGCCCCTTCTCACTGCAACAAACAAGAGGCCTTGCCTTGTTTCTGTTTAAAAGGCAGGAGGTTCTTTCCCCCATCATCCCCAACATTTTCAGTGCCTTGGAATTCAACCCAAACAAATTATCTTGGTTGCAGGGGGGTTTTGAGCTGCTCTGAGGTTCTGAGGGAAGGGTTGGTGCCTTACCACATTCCTGGGTCCTGTCCAGCTGCATTCCACGGCCGTCTGGTTGATGGCCTTGGCCTTGAGGCTGGGGGACACTGGCCTTGTGCCACTGGTCACCACGTGCACAAAGGACAGAGGGCTGTCACCCAGCTCTGTCTTAGCCCAAGCAGAAATTTCATAGGGGGTGTGAGCTGTCAGATTGGCCACTGAGCAAGAAGAGAAAGGGGCACTGTTAGATGAAGCAAAAAACAGCAAGGGTGTGAGCACGAGGGAAGGGTCAGCATCACAAACAGACAGGAGCCTGCCTCTCCTGGGCTGTACTTTCATGACTTTGCAGTAATTTCCTTTATACCAAAGCATTTGATACTCTGGAATCCAGCCCAGCCTTGCTTTTTTGTGCCTGGATGATTTCACAAATCCACACTGAGATTTTCCCAAACCAGAAATGTATTTAACAGGGACATGGGGACATGTGTTGTATGCAAGCCCAAGAAATCCTTGTCCTGTTTCTGCTCCCTTTGGCAGATTAAAAATGGAACAACAAACAAAACCCCATGTGATGAGAAAGGACTGGTGCAGCTCTGGGGGTAAATCCCAAATCTGCTTTGAAATCTCAACGTCCTCAGAACAGAGAATTTGCTGCTTTGTCCTGTCCAGATTTAAACAGAATTGTTTAAACAGAGCTACTAGTAGCAAAAAAGAAATACAACAATCCTATAACCTCTCATAAATCTTTCTGCTTAGTGTTGACCAAAGCAAAGCTTTCTATTTTGAGCAGAATTTACCTTTTTGGATGGACTTTTCTCCTTCTATAACCAGAGTCCTTTGTTCCTGCCTGTGGCTATCGAATGTCCAGTAGATGTTGACCACGTAGCCACTGACCTGTCAAGGCCAAGGACACAGAGCCATCAGCTCAGCTGGTGCACACAGGGAACCAGGGCTACTGTCAGACCCCTGACAGTCCTTGCATTGTATTTTCCATCCCAATTAAGAGCCCCAGGGCAGTCTGGGAGCAGGAAGAAATGATTTGGCAACATAATAATTGGTAATTGCAATGCTTCAGTGGGTGACAGCTTCTCCCAGCCTCGATTCACCAATTCCCCAGCTCAGATGGAAAGGGAAAAACTCTTACCTTGATATTCGTGGTCATTTTTAGGCTGAAACTTACGGAGTCCTCAGTGTAGCTCTCAATGTGGATGACAGGGGGAGGAATGACTGGGAGGAAACAGAGAAAAGACCTGTTAGTACAGCACAAAGAAATAAGAATATTTCTTGAGAGGGGACAGATAAAATACAGATTTTTTTGTTAAAAGCTCCCAGAACAGGACATCCCAACCTTGCCTAAGCCAGTCCCCCTCAGAAAAGACACTGATTTTTAACTCCAGCACTGAAAAGCTGCTTTATCTGTGCCTTGCTCACTGCAGGCTGGAGCTGGAGGGGTCTGGGCAAAGGGATTTCCCTCTGAACTCAGCAGGGTGAGCTCCTATCCCAGGAAACAGCTCCTGCCTTTCCAAGGAGCTGCTGAGCAACATCAAGAGCTATCAGCTAAGCATTCATACAAAACCTGAAGTCAGAGCTGTTTCTGTTCCTTCCACCTCTGTTTTTCAAACCATCAGGTAATTCACATTATCTGGACCCTGCACTTTGAGCAGCCTGGTGTTTTCTTTCCCTTCTTTCATCTGACAAATTAGCTGACAATTTTGATGCAGGGACATAAGTTGGGATGGAAAACTTGGCATGAATACAAAGGACTTCAAAAGGCTTTTCTTAAAAAAAAAAAAAAAAACAGGTTGGGAAGGAAATATTTACTGTGCTGTTTGAGTTTCTCTGCTGTGATGTTGTGATAGTTCTTGGGAGCTGTGGTTGTTTTTTATGGTCTGAACCTGCAGGAGGAGCCACAATAATTGTGACCTAAGAGGGAGAAGGATGAGCCAGCGTCCTTTTAGAGTCAGAGTGATGGAGTTGGTAATTTCTTGTCTATCTGGAGGCAGAATTTGGCCTACAAAAGTCTGAGGAAATTTGTCTGCAGAGGGAGGACAGGCTCCTGCTCAGTTCCAGAGCAGCACATCCATCCCCTGTGCAAGGAAGAGGCAGTGACCCCTCCAGACAGAACTCTGAGGCAGCTCAGGCTGAGAGAAAAATTCACTTTTTAGAGGCCACTTTTAACAGCAAAGCTGTGAAAGGCTCAGCAGGGAGAATAAAGGCCGGGGAGGTGGCTCTGGATGCTGCTGCTGGTGTTTGAGGCTGCTCCTCTGCCTTGTGGCCACCCAAACAACATTTACCTTTGCCTTTGACCGTGGTGATGGACTTGGATTCACTCCAGTTTCCCACCCCTCGGCTGGTTACTGCAGCGACCTTTGGAAACCAGAGGGAGAGGGACCATGAGCAACATTTCACAGTGCAAACACAGAGGGGAGGTGAGAGCAAGGTTACAGACCTGGCGGGGCTCCTGGGAAAGGGACTTGGAAGCAAACAATGGCTTAATTACTCGGCAATAAAATGCTTAATGCAGAGATAAAGCCGAGTGCTTAAAGTCAATTAAAGGGATCTAAGAGGAGGGAGGTGCAGCCTCTTTGCAGATAACTGCTCTCTGATGGGATCTTTGAGGAGCCCATCGAGATAAGGAGCTGGGGACTCCACGGGCCATAAAGTGGGTGAGAGCCAGGCCAGGGAAGAACATGCAAGGCCTGAAATGCTTCCAAAGATTTATCTGGGGATGGGTTGTGTTGGGAAGGAATAGCATGGGAGGAAAGAAAAACACAGATTTGGAGGAGGGGATTCATCCCCCAAGAGCTCAGGAGGATGGACAATGGCAAAGCACTCATTTCCCAGGGCTCACTGTGCAGACTTTTCATTTCCTTTCCTTATTACTTCTGTCTATAATTACCCAGCCTCTCCCCTGTGCAAACATTCCCCACAGGCAGAGCTGCTTCTTTTCCCACTGATACACCAAGGACCCAATTTATCTCTGGCCCACATCCAGTGAAACTGCAGTGACATTGGAATGGGCAATTAGCAGGGAGGATTTTGTAATCCAGCCTGGCCTTGTGGGACACAGGAGCAAATCAAGGGCCTTGGAACTGTAGACATTAGCAGTGGTGCTGTGGGTTGGCATTAAAGAGCAGGGCTTTAACAAGATTTTTTTGTAACAAAATATTTTTTTTAGCAAGTTTTTGGTACTGTGCAGGACTTAGGCCACTCAGGAATGAGAGTTTACTTAGAGGGAGCTTTGGAAATACTTTGAGAGGGAGCTTTGGAAATACTCAGAGAGCTTTGGGAATACTCATTATGAGAGGGAGCTTTGGAAATACTCTGAGAAAGAGTTATGGAAATACTCTGAGAGAGAGTTTTGGAAATACTCTGAGAGAGAGTTTTGGAGATACTCACTATGAGAGGGAGCTTTGGAAATATTCTGAGAGAGAGTTTTGGAAATACTCTGAGCACTTTGGAAATGCTCTGAGAGCTCTGGAAATGCTCCCTCTGAGAGGGAGCTTTGGAAATACTCACTCTGACTGTGTAGAGAGTGTTGACCTGCAAGTTCTTGATCTCCGTGTAGTTCTTGGTGGTTCTGAGGGATGACCACTCCTTGGATCCACTGCTGCTGTATTCCACCTAGGAGCACCAAAACAGGGCGTGAGGGCTCAAAAATAGAACAGGTCAGCAGAGAGACCTGTCTATCTCCATCCCAGACCTCTTTGTCTCTATCCCAGACCTGTTTGTCTCTATCCCTCTGAGATAAAATGCCAGCAGAAAGAAGCATGACATCTCAAAAAGGGAGAAATTAAGAACTCCAGGGCTGTAGTGCTGCCTACAGCATTTCTTCTCCCAACTTGCCTGATGCTCCCAGCAGATTTCCTCCCCCAAATATCCCATCCCAGGCCCACCCCCGTGCAGCTGGCTGTGTGCTGGTGTCCCCATGTCCCCAGGGCCAGCAGGACTCACGATGAATTCCCTGATGAGGCCATGGGCATTCACAGGGGGACTCCACCAGCCCAGCACCACACCCTCAGCTTCTCTCTTCAGGGACAGCTGCAGGTTCAGGGGAGCATCTGGTACTGGTGAGAGAATGAGAAATATTAGTGCCAGTCACAGTGGTGGAAAAGCAGCATCTCCCTGAAAATCAGGGCAAAGGGGTGGATGGATTTCTCCCAGTCCAGAACAATTCTATACAGGAATGTTCTGCCCGGGGAGGTGGTGGAGTCGCCATCCCTGGGTGTGTTTAACAAAGCCTGGATGTGGCTCTGGGTGCCAGGGTTGAGTTGAGGTGTTGGATTTGATGATCTTGAAGCTCTCTTCCAACCTAGGGATTCGGTGATTAATTCCCAAGCCCAAGGAAAGACCTTTTTTGTTCACAGCAGGGATATCTCTACTTTTCAGCCCTATGGCATTCACATTCTCTGAAAAAATTTCTCTCCTGGGAAGCTGAGAAGCCTCAGAGAAAAGGAAAACAATTCTTATCTCATTTGCTTCTCCTCTGTTTTGCTTGTGTGGAATGTGTTTGGAGATTGTTTAACCACAAGTGATTGTTTCATTGGATTTCTGGTTTGAGTTTTTACTCTTTGGCCAATCAAGACCAAGGTGTTTTTTGACTCTGGAAAGAGTCACGAGTTTTTATTATTATCTTTTCAGGATTCAGTATCTTTTCTGTATCCTATACCATAGTATAGTATTTTTTTAGTATAATATAGTATTATAAATACAGTATTATGGTATATATATTAATAGTGTATATATAAAATATATTATTAATAAGATAATAAATAATATATACTGTAATATATAATTATATATATTCTATTAATATATATAATATATATAATATATACAATATATTGTTTATATACTATATTAATAGTATTATAGTATAATGTAGTATTCTGAGAACATGGAGATATATTACGAGAACATAATATAGTATTATAAATATAGTATTAATAGTATTACAGTGGAATATATTAATAGTATATATATTATATTATTAAGAATAATATAATGTAATTAATATATTGTAATATATGTAATAATTATATTAATTATACCAATAATATAAGATATGTAATGTATTGTAAAACATAAAAAATAAATATATAATATATTCGTATATAGTAATATATAGTAATCTAGTATATATATTAATATATATAGTATATTATATATAGTATATATAGTATTACTATATATACTATATTGTAATATAGTATATATATTAATATATTAATAGATATTTAAATATATAATGTATTAGTATTATAGTAGAATATATTAATATTATATATAACATATTATTAATAATATAACTAATATATTGTAGTATATGCAATAATTATACTGATTATAATTATAATGATCTATATATAATGTATTGTATATGTATGTTATATTTATAATACATTAATAGTGTTATAGTATAACATAGTATTCTGAGAACATGGAGTCAGATGCATCATTCCTGCCTTGGTTGGGGCATTCCCTGCAAATACAATTCATGCCAAAGCAGCACAAATCAATGCAATTTAGCACCAATGGGGCAGGCAGTGGTGGCAGCAGCAGCTGTGCTTACGTCCTTCGGGCGCCCTCAGCGTGATGAAGTCGTTGGTGTTGTAGACCCTGCTCAGACACTGCACCTGCACCTTCACCTGGTAGCTGCAGTCGGGCTTGAGGACCTTGAGAACGCCGTTGGTTTTGTTGCTGTGGGTCTCCAGGACCTTCCAGATGCTCTCCCCGACCATCCTGAGGGACAGCGCCACACATCTCCCATCAGGATGGGCTTTTTTTACCATGGAACATATGTATTTATCCCAAAAATGGAACCATTTTAAAAGGTTGCTGCTCGTTTTGGTAGTGCCACACCAGCAATTTGAAAAGATGCCGCTGGAAAGTCTGAACTAACCTTGCCTTGGTGACTTATAAGCCCCTGAGCTTTTCTGTAACTCTTGTGCTCAAATTTATTACCTTTGTTCTTGCTGTTAATGGTCCCACAAAGACAAGTCCCAGGTGGAAAAAACAATGAATATAACAACTTTACTGTCTGAGTACATGGTCAAGGAGGAAACCAATGCAATTTGTCACCATTCCCTCTGGGTGCACCTATTTTGTGCCTCTTTTGCTACCAAATATTACATTTTTCAAGCAGAACTGGATTAAGGAGCTCTGAAGGTCTCAGACCTGATATTCTGTGGTTCTCTGCAGTAAACACAGGCACACCTGTGCTCATGCCACAACAACAGGGAGGGATGATGTACCTGTAGTAGATGTTGTAGACACAGGAGCTCGAGGACATCCTTTTTGGCCGAGCCCACGTCAGGGTGACATCCCCAGAGAAATCAGCTGTCCACTGCAGGTTCTGCACCTTGTACACGATTGTGTCATCTGAGCAGAGAAGGGGAAAAGGGAATTTACTGCAGGGAAACACGGCAGAGATTGGGAAAAGTGAATTAACTGCAGGGCAACAAGCCCTGTGCCCAGGAGGAGCTTTGTTTGTGACACCAACCACAGGGGAGGCAGGGACAGCACTGACTGAAGGGGTGTCTGCACCCTTTAAATGAGATGTGTGATTTATCCTGGGCTCACAGAGGGCAGATCAGAGCAGGTATTTATGCCTGGTGCTCTTAGTTCTACCCAAAATGTCTTTATGCTGCACAAGGCAAGCATCCCCTTTCCCCTAAGGAAAGATAAAGTGTGGCTGTTGCTGAAATAATTGGGAATTTTGGAATTGTGTGAGTGCAAACTGCTCACTGCCACCCTTCTCCTGCTGTGATCAGTCTGTGCTGTCCCTGTCACCATCCAGGCCCTTTCTTTGTGTGTTTTCCCTTATCACATCTTGTGTTCAGGACCAAGCAAAGGCTGGTAATTCAAGTTTGGGGCTTGCCTGGACACAAACTCTGAACTGAATCACTGCCTGACCTTCACAGAGGCATTTGGGGGATAAAATCACCGTGGAACCCAGCCCTGGATGGGAGGTGCTGATCTGAAACGTCCCAAATCCGTGCCCTGCTCCCACCAGGTCACTCCCTGCTCTCTCTGTGTGCCCAAATCTCTCTGTCTCTGGAGCCCAAATCCCACTGTTGTGGTTTGGCTCTGCTGGGGTGCTCAGCTTTGGTGCAGAACAGAAACCAAGCAGAGCAGGGGCAAATTGCTGCTGTTTTGTTTTTCCCAAACAGCCAGAATTAAATCCAGCAGGCACATGGGGCCATGGACAGCATGGCAAGGCAATTTTTCCAAGGGAAAAGGAATGGTTTGGTTTTCCCTTGGTGTGGCAGCTGAGTTGTGCATCTCAGCAGCTCCTTCCCCCTCCCCTGACCCTGCCAGCCTCTCCCAATCAATATTTAATTAAAGAACTAAACCTGATTGATGGCCAGCCCCCCCAGCAGTTCTGTGGGGGAGCTGCTGAAGCTCATGGCTGGCTGGAGGCAGTGATCAATCCCTGCTATCAGGGTGGGCTCTGTCCCTCTGCCACCACAGGGCCACCAAGGGATGGCAGCAGGCATGTGCCACATCCCCAGGGTCACCCTGCAAAGCAGGGCAGAGCAGGAGACTCATTTCACCTGTGGGCTGTGTAAAATTGCCAGTTTTGCTCCTATCCATCCTAAAATGATTTTATTTTTTTTTCCTGTCTCTGAGGCTGCTGGAAGACAAATTGTCAGTGCAGAAGCTGCTGGGAAGTTTGTTCCAGCTGGTGATAAATGGGTGAGGAGGCAGCTTGGACAACAGAGGCAGATAAATCAAGGGTGTTGGGAGGGAAATACCACACATCCAGGAGAGCAGATCTTTGCAGGGAGTGAGGGGTGGGAGATGGGATGCTGCTCACCTGTGCAGTTCCTCTCATCGCTGCTGTCTGAGCAGTCCAGGTACCCATCACAGCGCTCCGGCAGCAGGATGCAGGCCTCCCCATCCTCACACCTGAAGCCATTAGGGCAGGACAGGCTGCTTGGAGTGGCTGAAAGAGGCACAACAGTTCAGGACTGCAGGCAGGGAAGCTCCCTCGGCAGCACTGGAATGTTTGCAGGTGGCTGCATGTCAGGGATGGAGCTCAGCCTGGTGTGGCACACTCTGGGGTGTGGCACACTCTGGGTTGTCTCCTGCTGCCTGCACCTTCAGAACAACCAGGAGCTCATCCCATGAAAAACAATAATTGGACTTGTAATGGGAATAGCACCCCCCTTGGGCTTTTTATCTTTTTTTTATTATTTTTTTTTTTTTCTGTAAAGGATTTCTGTTTTCTGTAAAGAATTTTTTTCCTCAGAGGCTTCCCTGCCCTCACTACTCTTGGGTTCTCTAGCTGCTCAGAGTGACTCTGAGATATTTTAGAAAGTCTCTTTTCTCAGCTCAGCACTCGAAGGAGTCGGAGCTCTTCAGTTCTCATTCTCAAGGTTATTTATTGTTTCTTATCTATAAATTTTTTTCTCCTGTCCAGCTTAAGTCCACTCAGCAAGACAGTCAGAGGCACTCTGACACCCTCAGGGCAGTGTTATCTTTTTATACTAAAAACTACCTGTACAATATTTACCATAACTTC